GGAACCTCCAAGTATACTTGTGCAATGCATGGATAGGATCTCATAATCCCATACATGCTAAGTATCCCCTTTGGTCATCATAGTCATACTTACCATCTTAGGATCTCATCCTTAGCATAATTCTCATAACCAAGGGAATCTCTCACATTTAGTCAATCATAACATAACAAGGAAGGCAACTATAGCACAATCCTATCTAAGCATACATCATATAAGAGAAACACTTCATAAGTCACCTCAAGGTAAGTTGTGCCATGCATGAACAAGACCCCATAATCCTACCCATGCTAAGCTAGACATTTTAGGTTCTTCATTCATGTTTATCATCTCTTGTTCTCATAGACAAGGGGAATCGCCTCTAGCCATGCATGTATTGGAGGGGCATTTCAAGCTACAATCCAAACTAATCATGTTCATGTTCATAAATGCAAGGGGAATCAGCTCAAAACATACATGTCATAGAAGGCCTATCAAGTTACAATCCATATTAGACATTTTCATATTACTCTTTACTTGATTTTAAGATATGGAAACTCACATCTCTATGTCTTATCATAAGGGCCAATGGGTATTCACCGCTCTATGTCTATCATTTAGGACAAATGGGTATTCACCTCTTACTTTACATACATAGTCATAGGTATTCACCTCCATAACTATTTTAGGGACACATAGGTATTTGCATCCATGCCCCCACCATTATATGATGTAGGTATTTGCCTCCACATCATTACATATGGATCATAAGTATTCGCCTCCATGATCAACATAAAGGCTAATGGGTAATAACCTTTTGTCTTACTATAGACGTCATATTTAAGGGTAGTCACCATACACTTCTCATATCATGTCGTGGGTAATCTCATCATGATTATCTATCTAGGGATAAGGGGAGTCAGCTCGCATCCCTCTCATACAAAGATCTTTAGGGGAATCACTACAAGCCTCATCACATTACATAGTCCTTGGACTTAGATTCATTTTAGGTGAGCAAACCTTTCAACCTAGAATTATTCTATGTGAGAGGACCTTTCATATCATATCATATTCATGCATAATATCATATCTAGAATTCTACATTAGACATGGATATCATCACGACTCAAGTGATTCTATCACTTTATACATTCAAACATTCATAAGATAGATTACGTGAGTAAAGTCTTACCACAACCATTCTATCTAATAGTCTACCATTATCATATAAGCTTCACCCTTAGGGCCTTGACATACATAGTTCGTCATATTGACTTTACTCTCAAAATCCTAATGATCAACATTCATGACTACAAGCCTTACTCTCAAAGCTTTACTCTTTACAATCATCATATATACCTAGATTTCAAGGCATTCTAATCATATTCTTCATTATCAAGTGATTCTAGTCATGAATCATCATAAAGGTTCAACTTTAAGCTTTAATAGTCATGATCCATCATATTTACTATAATCTAATTCAATTTACGTTTACAAGCTTTCATTCATGAACAATTACTATACAAGTCATCAATTCTAAAAGATCATATATGAAATCCTCAATTTCACCTTTCATGGCATAAACCCACATTACTACAATTTCATCAATTAAACTAGGGTTGCCATGGAAAGCATATAATATCTTCATAATAACATAATTCAATACTAAATCAATCATAAACAAGTATTATCCACTCAATTGGAATCATACTCGACACTACCCACAATATAGGAAGAAATCCTAGCTAGAATTGGGGTTCATCTTCATAATTGGGGGAAATCTAGAGGGCTCCATGGATGGAAGAATCCATGGATGAATAAGATATCATACCTTGGATATAAAGCCCTCACAAAGCTTGCAACAATGGAAGAATTTGCCCTAGCTTTGACCCTTCTTCTTTCTAGAGAGAGAATTTGTTGGAGGGAATTGGGTTCTTTGGGTGAACTAAAATAATGATTTGGATCAATGTATTTAGTGGTCTATTAGCTTTACATAGGTGGCCTAATTACTAATAAACCGACCCCACTGAATAGCTAATTAGTTCTAGAAAATTTCCTAACCCCAAACTTAACCGCTTGAAACACTTCATTGCCCAACCCACGAGACCCCGACCCACGGATCATGAGTGGATCCACGGGCCATGTTGGTCATCCGTGGATGGGGTACTGGAGCTTGGTTGGTAGGCCTTGACCCACGACCCTCCCCCACAGGGCATGGATGGACCCACAGGGCATGAGTCCCCATCGTGGGTCACTGCCTTTGGGCAGCTTTTGGGGCTGTTTTAGAGTCCTCCTCAAGGACCTCTTTGGTTGGTCTTTGGGGAGTCGTACCTTGACGTTTAACCCCTAAATCCCTCATTCTAAGTACGTGAAGTCATTTTTACAACTCTAACTCCAACGTAAAGCTCTAAAACCCTTATGTAAGGCTCTAGGTTAACCTACTAGTTTTTCGGGTGTTACATGATCTCCTCCACATAGTTGGGGGGGGGGGGGGGGGGGGAATTGTTGGATTTTGGGTTTTTTTTTTCCCTTTCTATGTGGGTAAATATAAATCTAATTTTGACTGGCCCACTTTTGTTAATAAGCCCAATACTTTATGGTGCATATGTAAGACATCTTTTAGGTCTTATTTTAAAAGAAATAAAAAGAGAGATCAGCGTGCAACCACAACAAGAGAGAAAAGAGTACAAATTTTTGTACCCCTATTTTCAGCCTTAACAATCATTTTCAAATCGCGATTTGTGTTTTATTTCTTGTCCGATTGAGCTAATTTTTTGACAGCTCACTTCCTTTCAAATTAATCTTTGATTGGGAACTGGGAATGGTGGATTTGGAGTTTTGTAGCTCTAGATTTTATCTCGTGAACAATAGTTGTGTTTTGGGTGATTTTACTCATTGTTACTTCTCTAGTTTTTGGTGCTATCTTCTAGTAGGTGTTGCTCATTATTTGACACTTATTTGATGGTCATTTTGGAGAACATATTTGTAACTCTTGTTGATTATAAAATTAATTTTGGCCCCATAATTTTTACTCTTCACTCCGAAAAAATTTTCCACGTAATTTTGGTGTCTTGTGTTGTTGATTTATTTTTGCTTGTCTTGTTTGCTTTTGGTTATACTCTCTCTGTCTCTAATTACTTGTTCACTTTTGAATTGACACACCTATTAAGAAAACAATTATTGACATAGTGAGTTTACCATTTTACCCCTATTAATTTGAAGTGGATGGATTAAAAATTTAAGATATTCAAGAAATTATACCTTTTTCAAAGTAATTAATTGAGGGTATAATAGGTAAAATTATTTTGTCCTTTCTTGATTTATCAAAATGGACAAGTAATTAGTGACAACTATAAAAGGAAAAGTGGACAAGTAATTAGAAATAGAGAGAGTATTTTTGCTGCCCCAAACAATGCTTGAATTTGAATTTATTTGTCTCATCTTGATTCAAATAGAAGGGAAAGTTTATAATTGAGTTTTGTTCCTCTATTGTCATGGCATGCACCTTTGTTTGTGCTTGTCTTTCCCAACGTACCACATATTCAAACTGTGTTTTGCTCAACATAACTTTATACAATTATTTAATCATTAAAATAAAATGAGTTGCAAATAATAAACTTGACTTAATTTTCTATAACATAGATAAATAAAAAGCAAAAGTTACCCCCTCCATCTATTTTTATTTGTCATGTTGTACTTTTCGAAAGTTAATTTGATTAATTTTAAAATTTAAATTAGATTACATTAATTCAATATTTTAAACAACAAATTTAGCTATTCAAAAAATATACGAAAAGTATTATAAATTGCAATGTTTTGCATATCAATATGATGAAAAAATACATCAAAAAATATTAGTCAAATTTTTTATAATTTAACTCGAAAAATGAAATTATAACAATTAAAAGTGGCCGAAATATAAATAGTATTTTTAGGAGTAGTGTGTAGAGGCTGCACTGGCTGCTGGCATTTGTGCTGTTACTCCTATTTAATAGGAGTACATATTATTCACTTGTCGTTTCGAATTTATTAGCCCAAATAGTTACGCTTCTGCGCATGCTGGCATACTACTGATACTAGTGTACATACAAGGGATATAAATTTAATGATGGAAATAGTACATACTGCTATATTGAGATCGATTGGATCCATCCATTATTAGAAAATCGTCATTTTTCGATTGATGTTATAGCTGAAGCGGCTCAAATATATTAGTGGTCTAAAATTAAATATAAATTGAAGTTTTAAAAAATTATAAAAAAAAATTAAGTTGATTATATTTAAGTCATTTAGTTTTTTCTTTTAAGAGAGTATTCTAGATTTGTCAATCTTTTAATAATTCTCTTCTTTATATGAAAAATGGCGGAATCAAAATTTTTATTAAGTTAACCGAATATGTTAAGAGGTGTCAATTAAATCAAATTCTAACGTATAACATAATTTTCCGATGAAGTAGTGTCGCTTGGCACCTCTCCGCTCTATTGTAGTCGTACGTTCGTACGTTTCCGACTATGTTACAGTGGATAATTTTGTCAACTATTTATGTTAGGTTATTAGAGTAATATATATCAAGGATTATTATTAATTTCAATCAATTCCTCTAAATTCAACCATCCAAATTGTAGAAAAAGAGGAATGGACTAAATGTATGGTCAGGCATTAACCAGATTGCCACAATAATACTATTAGGTATATTACCAGATATTTCTAACTTTACCTAACCTAACTACTACTATTAAAGCTCATTAAATTAAACAAGCAAAAAATCCCTTGCTCTTGACATGCTTCTTTTAGTAATAATCCATCATCTACTTCATATGATATGTCGATATTTAGCTAAACATGAAATTTAAAAAAGAAAAATACTCGATCGAAAATTTGTGACCTTAAATATATCATTACATTTTATAGAGAGCATGTCATGACTAAGGACAAAATAGGAAGTTAATTAAAAGTTACAATATATTCGAAAATAGAAGAATATGATCATTCATTTTTCTTAACAGACTAAAAATGAAAGATTGTTACAGCCAGAGAGCTCCGGCATCTTTGAGAAGTGGTACAAGAGTGCCATTGATATGAGAAGCCATAACTCTATCCATCGATCCGATTAGTTCACCACCTATGAACACAACCGGTATGGCTGGTGAGTTGCCAATAAGCTTGGAAAGCGCCCTCTCCATCCCTTTTCCATTAGGGTCTTGGTCTAACTCGTACACCATTGGGCTCACCCCGAGCTCACAAAACAACCTCTTCATTGCATGGCACATGCAACAACTACTTGAGCTAAATATCACCACCGCACTTCCTGATGCTAGCCTAGCCACCCTCTCCAACGAGTCCGAAGACGATGACCTTTGCCTTGCCCTAGTGTTTTGATATTGCATTGTCACAATTTATTTTTTGTATGTGTGTTTTGAGATCAATAGTTGTGCATGCACTAGTATTGTAAATAAAATTAGATGGAAAAAATTAAAATATGATTTTACAAAAGGTATTTAAGGAATTTGAGTTTGTTGGAATGATGAGGACATATGAAAGAAATTCAAGGGTATATATAGTGTCCTAAGATAAAGGGGTTATTTATTGTCGTTTGGTGCATGAGATATATATATATCGAACTAAATTCTTTTGTTGGTAAATAGTACTCCCTTTGTTTGATTTCAACCATAGTAGTTCATTATGAGAAAATTACAAAAATATACTACTTAAGACTTTTATTAACAAAATATCAATATACTTATATTTAATTACAAACTAAGTTTTTAAATTACATACATAACAAAATATTTAATTTTTGTATTTATTTTAATTTTGTTTTACAGATTTTTCTCTCTCATACTATTAGTATTTCGTGCCTTTTACATGGAGTATAATTAGGATATTAATATTTACCAAATATTCTCTCTCCTAAACAGTTTCAAATACACACGATTCATTACTTTTATTTTTTTCCCATTTTTAGGCTTAGTGGACCTTTTGGGGATCATAATTAGTTTATTCCTTTTTTGATAAAGCTGTTTTTTTACCAAGAAAGGGGTGTACTTATCAATTTGGAGTTATAATTTCAAGAAATCTTGAAAATATTTTGGGAAGTCAAAAGGGTTTCTCTTCCATATTCTTCTTCATTTTTCTTAACCTTTAATCTTCTTCACATAAACGATTCACAATCCAACTAACCAAAAAATTAATCAATTTTCGATGGAAAAGAATCCACGTAAAAGTATAATGTGTCTTTTTTGTGGTTGATTATACTATGTATTGTACTAATTATGTTGATTGGGTAATATTTGTAGGGATTGTGGTCTGTATACCTGTGGTTTTTGTTGAATATGTGTGCCGTGGAGATATGAACATATCTATGTCGGGTGTAAATGCTGAAAATCTTTGGTTGAGATTTGGAGCATTACTGTGGGAATATGGAAAGATGAAAATTGATACTGAATCTGTTAGTGAAGATGAAGCTTCTAAGCAAGGTGGTCGGTCAAATCGGAAAGTCAAGGAGTAAAAAATGTTATTTCTTAAGACAGAATTTCATGAATGTTTTATGGTTTTGAATCTCTTTTGTTATTTTGGATTGTACTTTAGTTGCGTTTATGATTTTGAGTTCGTTGTTGGATATTGTCTTTATTCTGTGATTATGCATTTATTTGGTTGCATTTTTGGTTAAATTTTGTGATAAATTTATAGTGTGAGTTTGGTATAAATTTAGGTATAAATTGGGTTTTATAATTATTGAAAAATTATACTAAATGCTTGTATAAGATCGATTGGATTTCTTTCAAAGTTGCAGGTTGGTATACATATCAATGTGTTTACCCCGTTTTGTGTTTTTTTCTTTCATATGTAAATCAATTTTATTTTTTTTAACAACGTGTTTTTTTTTATGATTTCAGTGTTAACCAAGATTGTAGTCATAAGCCATTTATTGAAATATCAAAGTATTTTACCAAAATTTTAACCATTTAATGATCTTAAAAAAAAAACAGTCAAAGAAATATCAAAGTATTTTACCAATATTTTACCCATTTAATAAACTTAAAAAAAAACAGTCAAAGATTACATACCCTTAAACCAATTTTTAAAATTTATGATTTTATCAGGTTACTTCAATAAATGTAGGAACTATTTTTCATATTATTATTTACACCAATTCACATACTTAAAATACACTAAAATATGTACATTATTTTTATTTATGCGGTTCTAATTATATACCATAGATCGTCAAACTTGTAGTTTTTTACACCACCAATTACACCAAATAATTTATTACTGCAGTCATTTTAATATACGTATGTTCATATGTAAGATAATATACCATCATCATTATGACATTTGGTTGTTATATAAACCATCATTTATACCAAGTTTTGTACCAGTTGTAACCAAAGTAAACCAATTTTATAGTAATTCAGTGTTAATTATTGTAGCGTCCAACTAATATACTAACATCTAATACTTTCAATTTATTGTTTTAGGTTGGTGAATACTCCAAACATTTGTTTTACTATATACACCATTATTATGATCCTTTATTTTTACCATAAATTTGTGCCTATTTACCATAATTTCACCAAGAATTTGGTCTATTTACCATATCAAATCAACAACAGAATATCATCCAATAAGTTCATTTTTTATCAATATTTCTGAATATGTGACAACACGTAATCCAAAAGTGTTCATGATATCTATTATATACAACCATTTATAACAACTATGAATTCAAAAATATGAATAAGATAACTCAGAGAAAGAGAGTTTTGTTTTGGTAGGAAACCTCTATTTATGGGAGATAATATATAGCATATTTGAATAAATTAGGGAAGATAAATTATTTGAGAAATTTATGGGAATCGAGATAAGCATGACTGATTTGGAAATTTTTTTTTAAATTTAAATTCTACTTTTGAAAAAAAAAGTATTGCTATATAATTGGAAAAAAAAGTATTGCTATGTTGGTGTAAATACAGTTGTTAAGTTGTATAGTTAAAAAATCGACCCTTCATTATTGACTTATTATCGAAATTAAAAAGCAGTAAATAATATAAATAATTTTATAATATCACTTTTAAATATAAATAATCTATTATTAAAAAAAAAATAGTATTTAATAATAGGGATAAAATAGTCCCAAAATGATAAATTATTTATTAAATTTATAAATTAAACAACTATTACTCCCTCTGTCTCTAATTACTTGTCCACTTTTGAATTGACACACCTATTAAAAAATCAATTAATGACATAGTAAATTTATCATTTTATCCCTATTAATTATGAAGTGGATGAAAAGTTCTACATTTTTCAAATTAATAGGAACAACTATAAAAAGAAAAATGAATAAGTAATTAGAGACGAAGGGAGTATTAAATATCTCAAAATAGTAAAATGAACAAAGCGAGTACTTATATCATTAAAATAAAGACGCCAAAAAGTGTGTATATAGCCGGAAAAAAAAAGTTTGAGAAAAGAGCCTTTAATGGAAGGCGGCGGCTGTGGTGTTTATGTCTTTAAAATAATAAATAAACTCAAAAGCATTACGTCAATAGCCAAGGAGTACATTTTTACCTACCTATCAATTAATTTAATTAATTTTTAAAAATTGAATTAATTTAATATTTAACTTTTAGATATTTGAAATTATATTTAAAAAAATTATAAGTTGTAATTTATGTCATATTGATATAATAAAAAATATATCTTAAAATATTAATTAAAATTCATGTAATTTAACTTTCAAATAGATACTAACAGAGAGAGTAATTGACTATTGATATAAAAAAAAAAGATACTAAAATATTTTACGAAGATATTAATCATATCAAAAGATATGTATTTTAATTTAGATAAGTGTATTTTTATCCTTTCAAACACATTTTCACTTTCTAAGGTGAATAAATTTCCTAAGAAATATCTTCAAACTAAAAATCATTGAGTAGTTAATATGGACAAGAAAGAGTGTTACTTATGCTATATTCCTTCCATCTAATAATAATTATCCATATATTATTTTGGGATGACCAATAATATTTATTCACTTTATGAAATCAATGGTTTTTATATTTAGTTCCTAATTACTCTTATTATTAATTCTAGTCATTTCTCTATTATATTTCTCAAGATATTGTATTTATATATTCAAAGAGTATAGTAAATTATCTTTTTATTTATAATTTCTTTGAAAATGTGTTAAGTCAATAGTTGACAAGTATGGTTGAACAGAAAGAAAATTAAGTTCATTAATTAGCAACTTGGAGTCTTTTACACAAATTTGGCTGCTTTTCATTACACCTTCTTTCTATTTCTTCAAGTACATAATTAGATTAGTGATATTTGTCATATCTAAAATTTAAAGATTTAGATTAAATTAATTTAAGAAAACTTTTAATCATAATTAAAAGACAAATTAGAAAAAAACTAACCAATTTTATAAGAAAATTCTCTATCTTCCACAAAACTTAACCTCTCATTAGTCACTAAAGGTGCCACGTGTATAAAAAAAGATGTGATAAAAGTCATTAGAGAGTAATAAATTGATAGTACAATGTATAGGTTATGCGGCATTTATTGAAAGGGGGACACGATACAAACTTCACGTGTCGTTTTTATTTTTATCTCTAGAAACGGTAACATATTGAGCCACGGCTCTTTCTAACAACACATCTAAGTCATCAACCATTGTCCCAGATGTTCGAATATCTCGTTCTCTTTAAAAAAATTTAAGTTTATTGACATAATTTAATATCACCAACATTTATATTCTTAACTTGTTCCTTCTAGAACAAAATGGTCCAATAACGTCATATAACTTAAATAACTTCAAATTAGTTAAAGCGTTCAAATTCCAAAAAAAAAAAACATTTTCCTTTAATATATAGTTACTCACTTTTGTATAGTAAATTAGTTGAAGACGTAAGGTCTGTTTGGATAGCCCACCAGGTAATTGAAATTTGTGTAATTATTAGGATAGTAATTACCAACCTAGTAATTACAAACATAGTAATCACGATGACCCGTTTGTTTGCCACAGTGTAATAACAAGTATATTGGCTGCACATGTGTAATCATAAGGTTATATTGAATTTTTAAAATTAAAATTAATTATCTAAAATTAAAATTTTATATTAGACAAATAAAGACTTTTGTAAATGATATTAAATTGAATATTTAAGACATGTATTGTCTTTTGAAAATATATTAATTAATAAACATATGTTCTTAACTAATATATTATAAAAAATTATTGATTTACATTTTTAAAATTATTATATTTTAATTAAATCTATATATAATATAAAGCTAGATAAAAGAAAAATGATGTGGCGCCTCTCTTTGGCCAATGATTCTATTTATCTTTTTTTTCCCTCATTTTTGACTTTTTTTTTATATTATTAT